CGGGCAGCAGCCGCTGGCGCCGGGCTCTGGAGGGGGCAGAGGGCCGGCTGCTGCCCGGGGAGCCGCGGTGCCGCCCCGCCCCACAGCCCCACTGGGCTGGGGCTCCATCGGCACCCGGCTCGGGGCCACAGGAGCCTGGACAAGAAGTCGGGTGGCACAGGGAAGGGAGCGGCGTGTGGGGCGCAGGCTGGCACCACAGCAGGCTGGGTGCAGCATTGGGCTGGGGCACAGCTGCCAGCCCCACACACTGGGCACCAGGGGCTGGGGACTTCTCCAGGCTGAGGCTGGGGCTTCCAGGCCGTCCTTACCAGGACCTCGGCGAATTTCCACGGTTTGTCCTTCTTCATTGGTTTCTCAAGATCTGTCCTCTTCAGGAATTTCGCTGCGCAAAGTAGGGTTGTCCGAGAGGCCTGGAGAGAGCAGAACTGGAGATGGCCCCACAGCCCAGGGCAAAGGACCCACGTCCCTGTGCCAAGGCCTGGAGGAGGCTGCAGCCCACGAAGCACCAGGGCAGGAGGCAGCCGAGCCCCCTCCCAGGATGACACCAGCAGCCCAGGAGTCCTCACCTCTGCCACAAGCTGATTCTCATCCTGGCAGTGGAAGAAGAGCGGCAGCAGGCTCTCACACACTTGTGTTTTCAGGGGCCTTATTCCTTCTTCTTCCACAAAAGACATCAATGTTCGAAAGACAAACATGGAGAGCAGCTGCACTTGGCTCTCATCCTGTATGAAATGAAGGAAAAAAGACCTCAGCATTGGCTTCTTCTGACCCACATTGGCACAGGCCTGCAAATCTACAGGGCACAAAATGTCTGGGCAGCACCCAGCTGCTGGGGCTGGGGGCACAGAGCCTTACGTTGTCAAAGAGTGGCAGGAGGGCCTCAGTCAGCTGCAGGGCGATGGGGCTGGGTATCATGCTGTCTTTATCCAGGAGCAAATAGCTGAGTAGAATGATGGTCATCCTGACCACATCACTATCATTTTCCCTCAGGAGCTCCACGAGGCTTTCGGTCAGGCTCCACATTCTTTCGGCCTGTGCAGAACACGAGTCTGCAAATTCCCGCCCTGCTACAGCTGGGCCCAGAGGCCAAAGGCCTGTCCCGAAGTACTTGGGCAGCTGGACCGGGAGGCAGGAGAGCTGGGAGCAACTGCCTTGGTGCCCAAAGCCCAGCCAAGCCCAAGCCACTGCATTCCCCACCCCTATGCTGCCCGCATGGCTTCAGCCGCTGTCGCCTTCTCACCATCAAGGGATCGTCCCTTAGCAGGAGGAGGGCCCTGAGAACCTGGCGACGCATCTCTGTGCGCTCACTCTGCAGGTGCCTTGACAAGACATCCATGATGCTGTCACTGCACTCACTCAAGTCCACACACTCGAGAACCTGAAAGGCACAGGGCAGTGACAGGAGACCCGGCTGGCAGGAGCCCAGATTTGCACAGGGCGAGACACAGGCAGCAGCACAGGGCACGGGCACCGTCCCAGGCAGCTGCAGCTATGTGAGGGCAGAGAGCTGGCGGGCAGCTCAGCGAGGCAGCAATGGCCTTTAGGCTCACCTCTACAAGGAATGCCATGGCAGGGAAATCCCAGTATGGCATCTCTTTGCTGAGCATCTCAAGCAGGCAGCACAGGATGCTTTTACACAAATGCATGGATGCCTGACGCATCTCCCTGCAAGGTGGAGAGCAGCACTGAGACCCTCAGCCGGGGGAGAGGGGGAAACCCTCTCCCAGGACTGACTGACAGAGTTCTCATCTTTCCCCAGCACCCTGCAAGGGGACAAGGGCCCTTTGAGATTTGGGTGCTCCTGGGCACCCTCCTCTCCCAGCCTTTTCCAGTCTCTTTGGCCATCCCTCGGTGACAAGGCCCTCAGGCCCAGGACCATGGGGACTCTGTGGGGCACCCCAGGCGCAGGGCACAAATGTTAGAGGCAGTGGGCAGAAGGGGCTCTCACCTTGCCAGCAGACCCACAGCATAGTGGTGGGTTTCAACATAGAGCAGTGTGTCCCAGCCACACTTGCGCTCCATTGCCACCACTACATGCTCACACTGGAGAAGGCAGAGCAGGGCCTTCAGGGTCCGCACTGCAAACCTGTGTGCACAGCAAAGCCCAGGTCACACTGGGAGCACTGGCTCCTGCCCTGGGGGACGTGGCAGGGAAAGGATGACTGGGATGGAGCACCTGTTGGGGCTGATGGCAAGTCCGTGTTCCTCCTGGCATTTCTTCCAGAAGGCATCGACCTCCTCTGGCATATCCAGAGTGCTAAAGAACACTTGGAAGAGTAGATGCACAAAGAGGCGGGGAAAAAACACTATCTGTACATGTGGACAGCAGGGCTCCTGGAGAATCTTCCATACCACCACAGTTGCCTGCAAAGGACAAAGCACCCTAAGACTGTGCTCAGTGCTGAGGTGTTGGTGTGGCAGGGCCTGAGCGTGGCAGGGAGAGCCCAGGGGAGACGCAGGGGGAGCACTGGATCTGGTGCCCCTGAAACTGCTCCTAGGCCAGGTTTCAGCCCAGTGCCTGAGGCAGGGAGATGCAGTGGGGGAAGGAGGATGGAGAGCTCCTGGAGAGGCAGCCTTGAGGTGAGCAAAGGCCAGTTCCAGAAACTCACAGCCAGGGAAAAGACATTCGTTGTGTCCCCATCTGAGGTGCAGGTGCTGTGCTCTGGCCAGTTCCCCATCACATCAAGGAGTAGCAGCTGCACCTCCTCTGCAACCTTGGGATAGGACATGATCGTCTTCCACATGTTAGCAGCAGCTCTGTAGGGTTAGAGCTCTGTCTCAGGGGGGTCTCAGACACATTGCCTGGCCTGGGCAGCAGTGGGGAGCTGAGCTGGCTGCCAGCTCTGCCTCTGCCCACTGCTGCTGGCTGGCAGCACCCAGGGAGCCCAGACGTGTGGGGACAGGGCCCTGAGGGGCAGGGAGGGAGCATAGCAGCAGGCTCCAGGGTTGACGTGCCAGGCCAGGGAAGGGGAGCAGCCAGAGGCCCTGGAACTCTCTGTTGGTCACCCATCTGGGACAGGTCCTACCAGGCAATGGGCTGGGAAGCCCTGAGCCTGCTGGGCATGTGGACCCCATACCTGTCACATGTTGGGGCCACACGCAGGAGGGTAATGGCCACGTCAGCAGGCTGTGTCTCAGTGAGATCCAGCAGGGTCCTGTCCAGCCTGTGTTCAGCAGACTCGTTGGACAGGAGCCATCGGCGAATGTATCTCACTACGGCGGGCACCTGAAGAAGGCATGGAGAGATTTGGAAAGCTGTCAGAGGGAGTAATGTCCCAAGCTTGCCCAGAGAAGTGCTTCCCTTCCCACCACACTGTGATGGCTTCAAAGGCTTAAAGTGACCAGCAGGCATGGCTTGGGAGGCCAAGCAATTGCTGGATAATCAAACCCTGGCCACAGGCTGCTTACTTGCTCTGGACTAGAAACGCCCTTCTGTATAAGCAAGTCCAACAGGGCAGCACTCGTCTCGTGATTGAAGATCTCTGAGTATGGTCGGACCCTAGCAGCCACGGCACTGGTCTCTTCCTCTCGAACGCTCTTGATGAAATTACAAACCAGCTGTAGAAGAATGAAGGGCAGGAATCCAGGCATGCTCCAGGCAATGCTCCAAGCGCAGTGCTCAGATGAGCAGTGACAGCAGGCCCAGCCCAGGTGGGGATGGCTGCAGGTACCTGCGCTGTTCTGCGGAAGCGACCATCAGTAGGTTCCTGTTCTTCAGTCTGATCCACGGCTTCATCTGGCAAAGAGTGAGCGCAGCCAGAGCTGAGGGGCTGCAGGAGAGGCCAGAGAACGCAGCCCAGCCCTGTGCTCCCCAAGTAGGGACAACTGCAGGATGCTTCAGGGGATGGAGCAGAGCTGTTACAGGCTGTCTGGCTGGCCTCTCTTCCATCCTTTCAGTGGGCACGTCCCATGGGGATGAGATGGAATGGAATGGAATGGAATGGAATGGAATGGAATGGAATGGAATGGAATGGAACCAAGCTGTCTGCAGGCACCAGCCTGTGGGCCAGCTCTGTCACTCACCTTCCTGTGGTGGCTGGAACTGCTCCACCTCTGTTGTCTCCTGTGCTTCAGGGGCTGCTGCAGGCTGGCTGTCTGGCCTCTCTTCCATCCCTTCTGTGGGCATGTTCCCAGGGATGGGATGGGATGAGATGGGATGGGATGGGACCAAGCTGTCTGCAGGCACCAGCCCTGTGGGCCAGCTCTGTCACTCACCCTCCTGTGGCAGCTGGAACTCCTCCACCTCTGTTGTCTCCTGTGCTTCAGGGGCAGCTTCAGGGCCTTTGTCTTCCTCCTCCTCCTCCACCCAGGCCAGCTTTGGGACTGTTGGTGGTCTCTGCTCCATGTCAGTGACTGAGTTTATGGCTACCTGCAGTAGAGATGTTTCAGAAAAGCTCCGAGTCAGCAAGTCCTGTAGTTGTGCCTGGAAGGCACCTGCAGGGCTGAAATCCTGGGAAGACTGCAGGACAGCAAGTCCTGTGGTCTGGCCTTGAGGTCAGCTGCAGGAATAATGCCTTGGAAATTCTCTGGTTCAGACATCACCGAGTGCACTGTACAGGAGCTCCTCACAGCACCGTTCCGGTGCGTCCTGTCCCATCGTGTGCCCCGAGCACTGTGGTATGGCTGTGTCCCCACCAGCTCCTGTGTCACCACATGTCACAAAGGGTCCTTGGATACCCTGTCCTGCTGCGTCCCACGGTGGTCATGCTGCAATGTATCACAAAGGGCCCTTGTACACATTGCCACCTGTCCTTGGGCCTCCCCCAGCCCACCCAAAGTAGCCCTGGTTGGAAGGAATCCCTCACCCCAAGTACCTAAGACAGCCCTTTGGCATTTAGTGAAAGTTGCCTGCAATGACCAGTCAATTAAAGCCCCAGGAAAACTTGAACTCCTGGGTGAACCTGGGCAAAACATTAATCTCCCACATCTGAAGCCATGAACTGCCAAGTACTCTCCCCAGTATCATACCCTTTACCCTGTAAGTGTGCTGATGCCATTTAAAAGGGCCAATGAAAATGCCAATGAAAATGCCAATGAAAACAATGAAAACAGTGAAAACAAATTTTAATATTTTCATAATTTTTGCACTGGTAATAAAATCCTTGACCAGAAAAATCACGTCAGAATTTCTGGAGAGACTTGGAAAGGTGTCATTTTCACCCCAGATTTTAGAGTCTTTGGCCGGTTCCCCATCACATCAAGGAATAGCAGCTGCACCTCCTCCGCAGCCTTAGGATAGGACATGATTGTCTTCCACATGTTGGCAGCAGCTCTGTGGGGTTAGAGCTCGGTCTCAGGGGGGGTCTCAGACACATTGCCTGGCCTGGGCAGCAGTGGGGAGCTGAGCTGGCTGCCAGCTCTGCCTCTGCCCACTGCCGCTGGCCGGCAGCACCCAGGGAGCCCAGACGTGTGGGGACAGGGCCCTGAGGGGCAGGGAGGGAGCATAGCAGCAGGCTCCAGGGCTGACATGGCTGGCCAGGGAAAGGGAGCTGGGAAAGGGAAACTGTTGCATAGACAAAGACTCTTCAACTAGTTATAGTTAGAAAGTGATACATTTATTACAACACTAGGCACACACTGGGTGTAACCTCCCAAAGGCACTCCCAAAGGCACGTGCAAAATCCACGGGGCTCTTGCCCTCTTTCTATCCACAAAAATCTTACATATTCATATAATAGTCTTCATATTCATATTCCTATTCATAACATTCATATAATTATTCACTACACCTATATATGTGTATAACTCCACCTTCCCCCTCTTCATATGAAAATGATTTCAAAGTCCTTTCACACTTGTGCAGTTCCTTCCTCAAAATGGGTTGGTGGGTTTCAAAATGGGTCCATGGTCTTTTTAGATGAAGTCAGGGACGTATTTGGCATGGTTAGGTTTTCACCTTTGTCTTGTTGGCAGGTTTTCTGGTCCCTTGGCCATAATCCAAGTTCTCCAGCCTGGTTCTGGCTGGTTTTGGGGCCCAGGTGTAGTTATGGTTTCTTCATCTTGACAATACCCCATCCTCTCATCCTGACAAGACAGAGTCAAGCGAATGATACATTGTCTTAGCTCTAACTAGCTCCATCTGCTAATAATTAACTTTTCTACATTTCTTCTACTCTCCTTGCTGAATTCTTAATCATTATATATATATTGCTTCTATCCCCTAGCAAGGCTCTAAAACCTTTAATTCTTTTAGACTCTTGATTCACATACGCTTGAAATACTTTCCTGAAAGCGTACTGTGGGATTCCTGCTGCTGTTCCTTATGGCACGGCTTGTGCATCTCCTGTACCTGATTTATTCACCAGCCTCACCACAGAGGAAGGCTCAGCCTGGGAGAAACTGGCATATTGAAAAACCCAAAATGACTCAGAAGGTGGTCTGTGTGCAATCTGGAGGAGCAACTGAACTAGTGCCTTCTAGTCACATTCTCAGAAATAAAATAACTTTCACTTCTATTCATCCTATGCCAAGATAAAGAAAATAGAGGCGTGCTCACAGCTTTCTGAGAAATCAGTAGAAAGTCCAATGAATGGCAAATTCTGCTTGTTTTGTGGTTTTCTATTTAAAAGCACGCTCCATTTTACAAATTAATTTCAATTTGTTTCATTTAACCAAGAGTTAGAAACAGCTAAATAATAATATTAGAGCATACTTCTGATAATTTTGGTGCTGCTAGAATACATTTCAAGGGTGAGTTGGAAAACCCCAAGTAAGAAGTCTCTGACAATGTAAGCTACTTACATGCATGCTTAAATTAGTCAATTTTCAATATTCTGAAAATGTAGAGTTGTGTTTCTTGCACTACTTAGCCTTATCTCAGTTTTGTTAAAGCAAGTGGTAGGTATTTTAGATATTGCAATAGCTGATCATTTACAGCTTACATGAACCTACCAGAAATTATTTTGGAATGATTAAAGAAATATATAAATTTCATATGTGCATATATATTCATAAATAAGTATATTATTCTGGTATGGTGTGATATATATATCTGTGTATATATGCAATGGCAGAAATATGTATACTGTGCATACATAAAAAGATACTCAGAAATAAATCTCTTATCAGAGCAGTGGGGAAAAAAAAAAAAAAAAAAGGCAGAATTTTAAATTAGAAAGGAAAGAGTTTTAAAAGTTTAATGGAATATTTTTCCCTGAAAGCAGAAATTATCCTCAGGCCTGAATACTTCTAAATATTTAACTTATGATAAAACTCACGCTGACTGCAGCCTGAGCAGGAATGCAAACCAATAATAATAATAATAATAATGAAAGAATAGAGTAGAAGTGTAGTTGCTGGCTGTTTCCATATGAAACACCAAAGCTCTCAGTGCTGCAACAGTGACCTCCAGTGACTAAGGCAGCTAGTCCTGGGCTCAGTCTGCATTTGGAATGAGCACTAAAGGACATGGATGGAAAGACATGTTTGTTTACTAAAATCTTCAGTGCAACACTGGACTCATTAAGAGGATAATTAGAAATGTCACAGGAGAATGAACAACATGATAAATAGGTAATCCAGAAAAAATATGTATTGGATTAACCCACATCTGTTTCAGAAGCAGGCATTTGCTGAGCCAAGAAAGGAATATATTATTTTAAAACAAGTGCTTTGTCCAGTGAGGCAATCTGTTCAATGAGCCTACATACACCTGAGTTTTTATTATTTAATGAAACAGAATTCAGTAGGAAATACTTCTACTCTGCTTTGCTGCAGATATGATCTATCTCAGATGTAAATGCAGCTGTATGATGGAAAGTTCTTTCAATTTTTCAAATTAATGAAACAAAAAGATCAAAAAGAAATAAGAAACTTGCCTTTTGTAGGGAAGGTGACAAAATGCTTACTGTCCTTTTACATAAAACATCCTTTTTTTCTGTTTTTGTTGAAGGCTTTGTGAGTTTTTTATGAAGTTCACACTTCATAAAGCTACTGGCTCTAAAAATGAGTGGTATTTGATTCTGACCTGACCCCCTACTTCCTTAGTTAACCATTTTTTTTTTTTAATTGGATATGAGTCTTGAAATCTCCACATTATTCCAAATGCCACATGATATGTCCTGTACTTTGGTTCCTGTAATTATACTACATAAGTAGCTTATATCTGGGCTTTTTATAAAGGTAGCAATGGGAACTAATTTTTTAGGATTTCAACTTCAAAGCATACTCCAAGCTGTCCATGTTTTACCATTAAGAAATTGATGAGTTAAAAGTATATGAGTTATGTAAGGTCATAAGCAAAAGAAAATGTACAGAAAAATGAATTATAAGGAAAACAACTGCACCGATGGAAACAAGAAATGCACTTGTCACATCTGTCCTTTGGCAAGAGGAAGTAGTTTGATTGTGATACAGGAAAAGAAAAGAAAAATCAAATCCTTAGGGTTGCATTGCTTCTCCCTGCTTGGTCTAAACAACATTCAGATAATTAAATATGCTGGGTATTTAACACCTGCTTCATCTGCTATCAACACAGGGAATGTTATATTCTGGTGGTATGCTAATACTGGGTTTCTATAGGATAGAAGATGACAAAGTGTTGTGCCTAATAAAAGGAGAACCTTTTTGTTTTTGTTTTTAAGTCCTAGAGTTGATGGAGGGAAAGTTCCAAAATCTCAACTTCTTTCAGGAAAAGGAACAGCAGCAGCTGACTGCAAAACCTCTGTACTTCTGCTGGGCAAAGTAGGAATTTAATTTCAAGACAACCGATCGCTCATCATAAGACAACTGGACTTGGAAACCAGAAAGGCAGATATTGAATGTATTCCTTGCTCCTGCTCAAACAGGCTGAATAGTTCCTCTTGGGAAGATTTTCAACTAGTAAGAAATTGATCTGATAATCACTTTCATCCATCACTCAATTCCTTTCCTTTTCTCACCCCTGAAGAAAAAAGCACAGTAGGATAGTCTACTTACCCAGCTTACCCTTGATAGCTCGGTTAGAGGTTTGACTTTCAAAGCACAAAACCCAAAGACAAAACCCCAGCAAAAGTTTGGGTGTTAACTGTTGAAGATTGTCCCTTTAAAAGATGTTCCTACATTTCCATTAGTAATATTATGCCTTCATGTGTTACTCAGTTATTATTGCTTTGGAGTGAAGAAAGAAACAAAGCCTAAATTTTTAGAGTTGCCTCATTGTATTATCTCAATTTTCTGCTTTCACAAAAAAAATAGTTATCTTCTATGATCATTTCAGTTTCAGTCTTTAGAAAGCCCTTGAGAGTAGCCCTGGTTTTTAAACAAGATCAGAAAGTTACAGGAAAGAAGCAATAAGAGGGGATGGAGTGTATCAGAGAGACAGCTTTTTAAATGGCAGCTCCTAGATTCTGAGCTTGCTTTCACTAAAGAAGATCTTTCACTTCCATTCACATGTTTTTAGTTGGGATTGAAATACTAAATATTACAGAGACCACAACAAAAATAATGGAACAGGTATAAACCAGTAATAGAGCCATTTGTAAAACTCCCACTGAAAGGAAATTAAGCTATGTTCCTTTTTCAGAACCTAGTTAGGGCTTTTTGTGCCATGGACATGAAGATGACCTTAGCTGGAAAAGACATGTGTCTCAAGAGCCTCACAACGATCAGCTAATGATAAGATAATCTCACACTCCAGCACAGAAGTGCTGCTAATAGTGCA